ATCTGTCTGTCTGTCCATCTGTCTTTGTCAATGGTTCCCAACCAGTGGTCCACAAGAACTAAAATATGATCCGCAAAACATTTAAAATTTTAAACCTTTATTCATTTTAATGAATTTGTTGCTAGGTGGGCAACGTCAGCAAGTAGGACATCAGGCCAGTCAGGAGTCTGGGGTGGAGGGCAAGTGATCGTTCAGTCAGTCGTACACATTCTTTTGTCTTGCTCGACTATGTCAGTGATTCTGTTTTGCTGTTTAGTGATTCGACGGCTCCAGTAGTTTTACTGACTGTGAGCCCTCAATATTCATATTAATTTTTTTACTTATTTAATGGTGACTGAAATGGAGAGGCTTAAGAAGAAATCAAGGAAGAGCTCATTGAATTTCAAAATGATAGAAACTGCAAGGACGTGTTTGAATCTGATTCTCTTGAGGAGTTTTGGTGCAAAAAAGTGATTTTTTTTATTCTAAAATTCAAGGAATTGACTTGCACTATCTTATGCTCTTCTCCACAACTTTATGCAAACAAGGGTTTTCTGCTTTGCTGGTAATTAAAAACAAGTCCAGGAATCGATTGAAAGTAAATAATGATGTGGTTGTAGTTTTGAGCAATAATATTAGCCCCAGGAGTACCCTATTTGTAAGGAAGGTGCAAGCTCAAAAATCACATTGATGCAAACTAAATTTAATTTTCTATTTAAAATGTTCTTTTTTAAAATATTGTAATAGTACTCTTATTTCATGTTACTATTAAGTTTAATGAATATGTTAAAAGTTTTGATTAAAATTTATTTTTAAATTACACAGTTTTATTTATTATTCTTGAACCCTTTGGTCCCTGCTAACAACAAAGTGGTCCCTGATAAAAAAAAAAAAAAAAGGTCGGGAACCACTGATCTATGTGATCTATCTATGTAATCCAGTGGTTCTCAACCTTTTTTTGACCAGGGACCACTTTGACCAGGGGACAACTCTCTACGATTAGTACCAAAAGGGTTATGTATCAGTTTTTGGTCAACTTTAGATTTGGTTTGGTTATTTGAGATGTTGAATCAGAAAATTGCAGCTCTAGTCCCTGATACAGAACATATGCCATTCAGTAGTCGCCTTTTTTTGTTGTTGCTGTTTTGTGTCTAATTATGTTGTATTATTTTTGGGCTTGGCCTCATGTTAGCCGCCCTGAGTCCCCTTTGGGGACATGGTGGTGGGTTATAAATAAAGATGATGATGATGATGATGATGATTATTATTATTATCATCATCTGCTTACCCACAGAAAACCATATTTAATAATCTAGCACTGATGTGGTAGTAGTAATCTTCATGGATAGTCAGCCTCTCCCCTCTTGATATTCCCCTTGCCTTGCCTAAGAGGGTTTCAGCAACAGCTCTTTTTGCTGTGTGGTTTCAAGGCAACGTTGTAGTAATGGTGAGGCTGCAGACCATATTTTCATTCTTGTGGACCACTTGTGATTCATGGACCACAGTTTGAGAACCACTGATGTAATCTATTTATCTATCGATCTATCTATCCTAATCTAATCTAATCTAATCTAATCTATTTCATCTATTCATCTATGTAATCTGCCTACCTATGTAATCTGTCTGTTTTATCTAATCTCTTTTCCCACAGTTTGAAATTCTATATTTGTCTATCTATCTATCAATCTTTTTCTGCATTTTGGAATTCAACATTTATTTAATCTATATAGCCTATCTATGTAATCTATCTATATTATATTATATTATATTATACTATATTATATTATATTATATTATCTATGCAATCTATTTTATCTATCTGTCTATTCTGTCTATCTATCTTATTTATGTTTCCATGTGCACAAATTTTCTTTCATTCACAAAATTATTACAAATATTGTGTATAAAATTACATTAAAGTTATGTATATGATGTGCATATGAAACATAAATGAATCTCATGTTCAGACCTGGTTTTCATCTCAAGATGTCTTATTGTGTGCTTGCAAGTATTTGAAAAAAATCCAAAAAATAAATTAAAATGGAATACCTCTGGTTCCAAGCCTTTCAAATAAGGGATACTAAATCTGTGTTGTACTTAACAAACATTGCATCCATCTTTAATAGCAATGTGGAACTCATTGCACTTTTATGTACATATTTCTCTTTTTCGTTTTCTCTTTTTGGCCTCCTTTTTCTTCTGTTTCTGCTGAAAAGTTTAAAGAAGTAATGAGGTGCTGATGCTGCTATAACCCTCTGATTTAACCCTAGTTAACTCACCTTACCAAGACTTGTGTGCGTGAGATTGAGTATGATTCCTGCATGAACTTAAATAATATCTTTGTTTCTAAAGATTTCACTGAGATGATGAGGGCGCTGGGTTATCCCCGGCTTATCTCAATGGAGAATTTTCGCACGCCAAACTTCATGCTGGTTTCAGAGATACTTCTTTGGCTGGTGAAAAGGTTGGTAATTAACTTCCAATTGAATATCAGAGGAAATGTGACAGTGATTTCTGTTAAATACCTCCGTCTGTGAAAAAGTGCTTTTCTTCAATATGAACTTTAGATTTGTAGTCTCTTAAAAGACCTCCAGGATCAAAATGTAATTCTAATAGGTTCAAATTTTAAAATGATCACGAAGTCTCAGCATACTGAGATTTTATAACTTTTAGCTCTTCGCAAGATTTTAAATCAAACATATTCTTCAGATTAAAATTGCTTTCTAATATGGCCTTATATTTAAAATTAGACATCAGAGTAATTTTATGGCAGTACTCTGTAACACATTTCTTTTGAAAATGATGATAAACTACTTATCTGGTAAAGAGGAATTAATTTGTTATTAGTATGAAGAATTAAAGCGCACATTTTTCAATTTTGCTTTGAAAGTCAGACTTTTTATTATATGAAAGGCAAGCATAGGTTACTGGGATTTGGTTTCCACCAGAAAGTATTGTAAAACATAGTGATTTTTTTTCTCCATCCAAGTAGTTTACTTTTTTGAGCAGTTAGTTGTGTTAGAATTTCTCAGGACTGAATCTAATCTAGGTAAATATAAAATAGATAAACGTTCATCCTGGTGTGCTTCAATAATAAAGACTGGTGACAACATATGTAAGCTTGACCCAAGTTTTGCCTTCCATAATAACCTGAAATGGCTTGCCTTGTTGTGTGTGCTGCCAAGTCCAGTCATATTCATATAAGCTGGGTTGCATTGAATTGAACTTTGTGAACTGATCTTTCAAGATGAAAGATGCTGCTAGAATGCCCACATTTTAATAAAAATAATAGCATCTTATGACAAGCTTTAAAAACTTTAAAGGCATCAGATCCCATTCCCAGTTTGATTGTTTACTTCCTGGCCATATTTATAGAAGCTTACAGCCATTGGTTGATGAATGTTGTTTTTAATTGGGTATTAGTTGATGTTTTAAATGTCCATATGTTGTATTTAATTGTATTTTTAAAATTGTTTTCATTTTATGTTCTGTTTTTAGGCACCTTGTGCCACGTGTAAGCCAACTCAAGTCCCTCCGGGGAGATGGTGGCAGGATACAATAATAAAATTGTTGTTGTTGTTGTTGTTGTTGTTATTTATTATCTTGGAAGTTAAGCAGGGTCAGTTGTACGTGCTACTTGCATGGGAGACTGCCAACTTTTTGTGAGTTTGCTAGAAGGGGATCCCTTTAATGTTTTTTCTTGCCAATCTGTGTTGCAAATCTTACTGTTCCTTGTTGTGGATTGGTCCGTGTTGGGTTTTATGTTTTTAATGAGCCCTAATTCTACTCCAAGGCACTTTGAAGAGAAACAGTACCAGTGGCGGAAATGCAGTAAAAATGCAACACTGCCATAAAAATAAGCATTTATTCAACTCTGCAGATATTTCCTTTTTCAGATATGAGCCTCAGTCTGATATACCTTCAGATGTTGAGACGGAGCAAGACCGGGTTTTTTTCATTAAGGCAGTTGCTCAATTTATGGTGAGTCATTTTATTTTAGAATTTAGCATGAAATACTGTGCTTGATATATTTGCCATAGCTTATATACCTTTTTAAAATACCAAATGTATATGTGACTTAGGTTCTCTGAAGGACATTATCTCCGTATAAGAGCTGCCCATGTTTTCAGATCTTCTGTCCCAGCACCCTCACATGGGCATCTCATGGTTTCTTCCAGGCTCTGGAAGTCCTTTCCTAGAGACCTTAGACAGGCACTGTAATTGTGCAGGCAAGTAAAAGAGCTTTTTTTCTTTCAGCAGCAATTTGAAGGTGGGAAAGGTCTATTCAGAATTTGTATAACACTTTCATTTTATTATTTAATTATATTTTTAACTGTTGCATTATATATATATTTTTCTAGCTATATTCGCTTAAACTCTTGTAAGTCACTTAAAAGTCCGAGAACAAGTACAAGTTCTCATATGAGTAAGTATAACAACAACAAACAACAGAATACATAGAGATGAAAAATGAGCAAATGATTACAAATCTAATATCATGAGACTGGGGCTAAAGATGGGTGCAAAATTTTCAAATTGCATTTGCTCTTAGGCTTATATAATTCAGTCATGAAAAACATAGACTTTTTAATGGACTTTTAAATAGCAACTTATTCCCCTGGGGTGAAGGTTATAGTTGTTGCCAGTCGTTTTGTTATCTTGCTAGATAGTACATAGAGGAGAAAGAAGTTGGGCACATCAGTCCTTGAATGGTACTCCCCTCCCATATACAGTTGGCAGAATCAGAAGGCGTGAAGAAGGAAATATGCCCAATTCATTGCATTGGCAGATCAGTATTTTATCCTCACTGGAGATACAGTACTGTGCTATATTTTCTCTGAACTCAATCTTATACTGTTTCTGTTCTCTCTATTAGCTTTATTTGATTGTCATTGTGTAGGGTACATTCAGCTGAAGTTTTATGTACAAGAGTGAGTAACTGGATAAGATTAAGATGATTCTTTAATTAATATGTTGGACTTGTCTTGAAGCAATAGAAAAGCTATTAACCTTGTTTGCAGAGGCATTTGTGATAGCAACTGCAGAACTGCTAGGAACTTTGATTGTGTGTAGGCTAGACTTCTGCTATTTTAGGAAGTACAGGAAGTACATTATCTTCTGTTGTATTCACTTCACCTCCGTTCCCTTAACAATCATTGATTTTTTGCTTCATATTTTAAATGGCTCTCAAATACTTTCTTCTTAACAATACCTTTAAAATGGTTTGCATCAGCCTCCTGGTGAGGCTGACATTTTTGGTTTTCTTCCAAGGCAGAAAATAGCTGTTCTTTTCGAAACGTTGTCCTCACTGTTTCCCTGTTATCAAGAGAAATGGAAGGAAACACATTCAATATGATATTTTCATAACATTTTGTTGTCTTATTTTGTTTGCCTCAGCAGGACATTGCAACCAATGGCATTAAACATTAAGTCGTTTTGGTGTCTAGTCATCTCTCCTTTTTCCTTCAAGCTCTTCCATTTGCTATCGCTTGTTTTGTAAATTCTAAACACCCAGAGCTGATAATTTGTTATGCAACAGACTCAGTGGAAATGATATTCTAATAAAGCAACACTGCATTTCTTTGGGGATTTGATGAACTTTTCACTCCTCAATGTATTGTCGAAGGCTTTCATGGCCGGAATCCATGGGTTGTTGTAGGTTTTTCCGGGCTATATGGCCATGTTCTGGAGGCAATTTTTCTCTTGACGTTTCGCCTGCATCTATGGCAAGCATCCTCAGAGGTAATGAGACCTCATTACCTCTGAGGATGCTTGCCATAGATGCAGGCGAAATGTCAGGAGAAAAATTGCCTCCAGAACATGGCCATATAGCCCGGAAAAACCTACAACAACCCATTTTCACTTCTCCTTTTTGAAAAATGCATTTTAATAGCTGGAAGAAGTTTATTTATTTATTGTTTCAAACATTTGTACCCCACCCTTCTCACCCCTGAGGGGGAACTCAGGGCGGCTTCACAACAAGCAGTATTAAGTGCCCTCTACATTCATAGAAAATACATTTAAAACAATTTATTAAAACAATTACAATTGAATGAAGATTTTACAGTCCTTCCCAAGAGGAATCCATTTTCACTTTAGCAGGATCTTGGTGTGACTGTGATGCAGACTTGGCATAATTTTTGAAATTAACCATTAAGAACTAGCGCAAACAGATATTTACTGTTGAGTTTTGTCCTTGTGAGGTTTGCTTTGAGGATTTTTATTTTCTTGTATCTTAAAATTATATGGTGGCCTCTTGTTTGTTTAGAGAAAAACGTAATGTTCATACCACTGGCTTTGTGGTATGAAATGTTTGTATTTTACTCAGGAGGGGGATTTACCATCTTTTGACCAAGAATTTCCTGAAATAGGCCTTTGTTCCAACCACCCTATTCCTCACCATTCTACCTGTGATTTTACTCCCTGAATGCCATGGCAATAAACAATGTCTCAAGTCTCAAGTATCGTTGTGATTAGAGTGAAGCAAAAATATGCAGAAAGTTTTATTTTCCTGTTCGCTTACCCAGGGCCTTCAAATCTTTCCTGTGACATTTCGGTAGGTGACAACTAGATGAAAAAGCCACCCAGCAAAGGCCATCAGTAAACAAACATTGCTGGGCTTAGCATGAGGAGATGGAAGCAGGTGTTGGGGGATCAACAGCTACTGCCTGGTGCTCATCTAGCTTTGGTAAAGCTGTCTGTGACTTAGGACACATGAAACTGATGCCATTTGCAAAAGCCAAGGAGACAGTGTTTGGCTTGTTGTTACCTTGAGGATTTCCTCTGCTTTTTGCTGGTGATTTCACAGTAAGCTCCTTAAAACCTGGAAGCCATTTTTGTTTTGAAAAGTGAGACTGCTGCACAAAAGTTCCTTCGGATCAAGCTTTGGGGTATATGAGAGCTACTTGCCCCATCTATTTCCAGTTGCATCTGTTCTCTTGCTGGCCCCACCCGTGGAAATTCCTCTTTCCTGACATTTCTCTCATCATTTCTGGACTAAAGTGGAGCCTTTCCTCTGTTTAGAGAGCTAGATTGTCTAGGGTAAAAACTGGAGAAAAATGAAAACAGAGTAAGTTAACAGGCAAGCACTAATAGCTGGTCCATAAGGATTGTTGAAAGAGAAGAGTTAATTAAGGTAAGTGATCCCATTGTGGCAATTCACAGGGGAAAACAGCTGACCCCCACTGAAAAGGTGGTATGGGCAGCAGTTCATTTCCAATTAAGTGAAAGCATAATCATTGGTACATTTCATCTGGAGTGAATTGGAGCAAAAAAAATATGCTGCGCCGAGTTTCTTTTGACATAATTAGAGAATCCCTTGTGAGGGGTGCAAAGTATATCTGCTGCATAAGGGTTTCTTCCTGATAGCATTGGGGAATGGGTTGGGTTTTCTCCTTCTTTCTTCTATTTTGTAGCTGCACAATATGGCTGAAAGCACTTACGTTTTTAAGTGGTCAATAGTCACTAACATATAGAATCTGCATTAAGAGCAAAGCCCTTCTCCAGAGCCTCCAGAGTGTGATATGAAGGCATTTGTTACTGCAACTTTGTGGAAGCTCAAGCAGTTTTGGCTTCAGGTAGTTGTTGCTTGAGGGATTTCCTTAAAGTTCTATCATAGCAGAAAATAAATATCAGATACTCATTTCTTTTCTCTCCAACAGGCAACAAAGGCTCACATAAAGCTCAACACTAAAAAGCTATACCAAGCAGATGGCTATGCAGTGAAGGAGCTTTTAAAGATCACTTCCGTACTTTACAATGCCATGAAGTCCAAAGGGATGGAAGCCACTGCTGTGGGTGAAGAGGATACAGGGAAATTCAAATTTGACCTTGGCTCAAAAGTATGAAATCTCATGCTTTTTCAAAAACTAATTAGAGAAAGTGCTTATAGTATTTCTATCCTTTTGAGAGACCAGAGTATTCCTTTAGCCTTACCACTTCCCCATGAAGTACCATTATTTTGCAAGAGTGCTTTGCAAAGAGCACCTTAGAGAATACACTATTTATTCTCATGTATAAGTTGACCCTACACATAAGTCAAGGAAGATTTTGAGGCCCAAAATAATAGAGCTTGATACAAGCCATGGATAGGTTGATAGTCAGTCCGTGGAGATAAGAAAGTGCATCACAAAGACTGGCTATGACTGATCCTTTGTGGCTTAATTTTCTTTGAGCACTCGCTTTATTTAGGCCAAAATGTTAGGGAACTTGCTATTCAATCAGATCCAATTGACTTGTAGTTTTTAAGCAGTTCCTGAAATAATTTTCTTTTCCTCTAGGCTATTTTAATCTTTACTAGATTAAACTGCATTACTTGGTGTTAATTAATTGTGACTGTTTTCATTCAGTTTAGATATATTAAGTCATTGATCATATTTCCTTTTATGAATTGAACCCATATTATTCTTTGATATTTAATTATGCTGGTATTTGTGTGTGATTTTTTTTTTAAAAAAATAAAAGCCACAGGTGTAAAGAAATCACAGAAAATATCTTTGATTTTACAATAATAAATAGGATTGTTTGATTTTCTGCTCCTAGTATATACATATCTGCGTTTGGATTGTGATCCAAACACAAGGGGATTATGATCCAAATAAGCTGAGAAACCAGAACTTGGAACAATTAGACCATAACTCCCAGAATCCCTCAGACACGTTACCTTGAGAATTCTAAAGACTATAGTCCAAAAATAACTTTTCTGAGTGAGAGTGACCCAGTTTTCACTGAAAATGATCTGTCTTCTCTCTCCTTTGTTTTGAGAAGGCATCACTTTTTACCAAAGTGTTGTTAAAACTCTAACTGTTCTTTCTATGATTTTTTGGCCATTTTTTTATGTCTTAAGCATCCTTTCCTGACCTGTGAAAGGAACTGGATATTATACAGTTGGGATCCATAAATGGGACCATCTCTCTTTGCAGCTTAATTATTCCCATTTCCCACTTTTTCTTTTGTTTTTGTTTTTTCTCCCGTTGCCCCAACTTCATTTGGACTTGTAACCTCATTCTTTGGCTCTGCTGATCCCAATCTAAGAGAGAATCCTAGGCATCACCAGTCCTTTGCATGTTCCATTCCCTCTCAGTGCAAGGGTTAATGCAGGCATTGATTTCCCCGCAGTTTGTAGTCTTTGGGGTAGAAGTCTCCTAGCTCCTGTGACAATGATGGCAGTAGTGATAACCCCTTCATCTCAGACCGAGTGTGAAATTCTCAGTCACCTTTCTGCCATAAAGATCCTGCACCTTAAGGCAAAAAGGATTCAGAGTAAGCAGTTTGAAATGATAATATCTAATTTCTGGAGAATAATTGGCAGTTGCCCTTGGAGACAGTGAGAGCTGCAACTCTCAAGACTGTGCCATGAATCTCCACAATTTTGATTTCTCTCTCACTCATTTCCATTTTTGGTGTAAAACTGTCTTCTGCCCATGGTTAAGTGTCTTGCAAAAATGCTGTTGTGCATGGATGCTACAACTCATTAGGTCAGAATGGTTCCTTGAACTTAAAGAAGCATTTGGTTTTATGACTGTATACATTCCACACATTGGTAGGATTTAGTATTTCTGATTAGGCTAGGAATATAGGACTATTTTAATGCCATTGTATTGTTCATATTTTCTTTTTTAAAACACATCGTTATAAGTAGAAATATGTTCCTCCTCTCTTTGCTCCTCCTTGGTCTTTTGTCACAGAAGATAAAGCTCTTCTTCTGGTGTTTGTTTAGATTGGAGATTTGAAGACTGCCAGGCAGCTTGCTTCAGAAATCACTTCAAAAGGAGCATCTCTTTATGATTTGCTGGGCAAAGAAGTGGAGTTAAGGGTAAGTCTGCCAAAAAAAAAAAAAAAGTACGAAACATGTTTAATTCATCAGTCTCTGTGCTGTAACTTTCTGATCATTTCTAGACACTTGAAGTTAGATTGATTCTTTGGAAAACAGCAATAGTTTAAGTGAACTTTTGTTCTCCTTGTTCCTCCGGTTCCTGGCCATCTACAATTCTTGCTTTATCTTTTGTTCTTCAGCAATTTCCTTTTCTTTTCCCTGATGCCTTTATATCCACTTCTTAATTATTTCTCCCTGACATTTATCTTTCCAGCCATTTCTTTCAATCTTTCTGGTTTACTAAGGGGCGCTAACTATGGGAGCGCTAACTATGTGGGATGGAGACTGGAACATTGATAATGGAAAATTTGGAGCAAATCACACTGAACTTGAATCAACGTGCAGTAGAAAGCCAAATCCATGGTAGTGGTGAGAGAGAAGAAATAATTATTTTCTTCAACCATTTCTTCTGCACATGGTTATCCAATGGAGCAGACTTAAGCGTTATACTCGGGCGTTCAATAAGAGGCTGTATATCATACAAGAGTTCTCTGTGAAGAATTTCCGTGACATTTTGCAGGGAAAAATCTATCGTGCCCACTCTGGCATAGATTCTGTAGTTGAGTGCTTGTCCTATGTTCCTCAACACATTTCAGTTTGTCCAGCCTGGGAAAGAAGGTAGGTCTGGCCTGCAATATGTTGAAGGACAGGTTTCTATAAGGATTTTTTTAGCATTACACAACGTCCCCCATATCTGGTATTCTGACAAACCCATATCTTTTCAGGATGGAGCTTACTTTGATAGAAATAGTATCTATGGACATAGTGATAAAAAATCAACTGCCCTTTACCAGAAAGCCTTGCATATCCCAGCAAGAAATGTTGTATGCTGAAGTATGAATGCTTCATAACGTGATGGAACTAGTGCCTTAAATGGTAGAGGTTATTTTGGAGCAATTTTCTATTGTGATGAAAACAGTTGGTGGATTGACATTGCTGTGGCCTGATTCAGAAGGAAGGCCTTTGATTTCTGCCTCATTGGGGCCAGCAGGACATCTGTAAAGGAAAGTACAAAGTTTTGTGAAGGCTACTTAAGTGCAGATCTCTCCAAAAACATGAAGCAGCCTTTCATGCACTATTCTAATGATCTCTGGTTTTTGCTTTCTTGGCAATTAGTTGAAACTGAGAAGTACAGCTCCCGACCCAGTTGTGGGTGTGAATGTTAATTTGTCATTGCTCTCGGTGAAATCTAGATAGGCTTTCTGGCAGTGCTAGCTGATCAGTTTTGGTGTCATGGTCATTATAATTACCATGACACCAAAGGATACCAGAGCTCTGGTATTTCATGATGAGTGGCATGTATATAAAGGGAGATCTTGGAAATACAATAGTTTTCTGCAGGACTCCAACCGCTTCACCAGAATCTCTGTTGGTGCAGAACAGGCCAAGGTTTTCTCACTGTAATATCTTCCCCAGATACTTATAAAGCAACCACTCAGTAATACAGGAGAAAGGAGGAGATGGCAATGAGCATAATGTGCTACTACATACCCAAGATACTGAAAATCTGCCCTAGTCATATGTTTATAAGCTCTGTCTTGAGTTTTCTCTCTTTAGAAAGAGCAGTCACTCAGCAGTAGAGACCTTGTGTCTATATGCCAAAGGATAATATAACATAAATGGGTTCCTGAATAAGTACATACAACAAAAATACCACTTATATATAGAGTAAACAATAATAGAATTCAACAAACAGTTATATAGACATGTACCGTTCAATTTCACAGTGATGTCAAACAATATTGTGTAAATTTTGGTACAGTCTCTTAAGAATAATATCAAAACAATAATGGAATTCAACAAGCAGTTATATAGACATGTTGTACTGTTCAATTTCACAGTGATGTACCAAAATTTACATAACAGTGTTTGACATCACTGTGAAATTGAACAGTACAACATGTCTATATAACTGCTTGTTGAATTCCATTATTGTTTTGATATTATTCTAAAGAGACTGTACCAAAATTTACACAATATTGTTTGACATCACTGTGAAATTGAACGGTACATGTCTATATAACTGTTTGTTGAATTCTATTATTGTTTACTCTGTATATAAGTGGTATTTTTGTTGTATATATGCCAAAGGAACCAGTTCTGATCCCTGTTTAAAAGGATGCACCCATAAGCTTTGGGACAACCTGGAGAAGTTAACAGAGAACTCCTGGCAGCACAGATGGAAAACTTTGGGCTTCAGATTGATAGCACTTACAATTCCCATCACCTCTACCCAGAATGAAAGTTAGAAAGGGATTGTGAAAGCTAAACCCAAAATAGATGGAAGTCTAGAAGTTTCTAACACAGCAGGAAAGTAATGGTCATAAATAGAAGCAGAGGAGGACAGACTTAGGTATTACTCTCACAAATTCAGATGCTTCTCTGAGCCTGAACTTCATGTCTTCCTTTTCCATCTGAATAGTCTGGGTACTCTAAAAAGCAGTATAGAGTGCCTACACACTTCAGATAAAAATGGTGACTCATTATTAGTTGAGATATAAAATAAATTACTTTCACCACCATATAATATTAGCAAATGAAACCTTTTCTGCTAGTGAAAAAAATGTTTCAGCAATTCTGAAGTGGTAGGAGGATACCAATCCAGACCATTGGAAGAGTGCCTTGCGATTCTCAAAACCTCTGACGTTTACCTTTATTCATAGGTCCTGTTGAATGCCTAGAGGTGCTTTACAGCCTGCACTGGGTTTGTCATCGAATAGCTTAAGGGGAGAAAGAAGTGCATTAACTTCCCCCACTTTAAAAGCACTGAGATTTCATTAGCAGAGAAATTCAAAATTCAGATATTTTACAGCATGGAAGTGTCAGAGGATAGGGACAGAAAAGTTATTGAGATCATATAGTAAAATAACATCCAGCGGGTTGTTGAGGGGCTTCCTTAAAATCTTTGCATTGAAAGGGAGCCCAAGGATTGTCCACTCCAGTGCAGTCTAGTCCATTCTACTGCTAGTCCAGAGATGTTCTTCATTAGACAGGGTTTAGCAGCCAGTTGATAAGAAGACAACTATTTTTTCTTCTAAGAGCAGGAGAGATTACATGCTTTTAAAATCTTTGGGAATTAGAAGAACAAATTTATATCAGTCATATACAAGCCCTCGGTGGCGCAATGGGTTAAATCCTTGTGCCGGCAGGACTGAAGACCACAGCAGGTCAGAGGTTCGAATCCGGGGAGAGTGTGAATGAGCTCCCTCTGTCAGCTCCAGCTTCCCATGTGGAGACATGAGAGAAGCCTCCCACAAGGATGGTAAAACATCAAAAAAGCATTCGGGCGTTCCCGGGCAACATCCTTGCAGACAGCCAATTCTCTCACACCAGAAGTGAATTGCAGTTTCTCAAGTCACTCCTGACATGAAAAAAGAAGAAGGAGGAGGAGGAGGAGGAGGTATATAGGAAGGAATACTGTTGGATATCAGAGCCCATCATCCTCAGTTTCCATTAAAGCACCTCTCTCTTCAGAAAGTATATTTTTAAAGATGACATGTGAGATCTGCTTGTCTTAGTCAGTCTAGGACCAGTTATCCATAGGACACCTGCTGCTAGTATAAGTATAGGTGACTTTTGATAGCAGTCTAGTCTTTAATGGAGAAGCAGGGGACCAATTGTGTTGGCAGTTTCCTTCCACTGAGTCACTGGGTGACCATGAAATGGGGCATGACCTGTGTTGAAAGTAAACATGTCAAGATATCTAGCAATTTTGTAAAAGAGCAGGGAGTTTGGAATCTTGATAGAATACAAAATTGTATTTTGGGGTTTGGGTGTCTCTTACATCCCTTGCAATGGAAATAAACCAGTGTAGGTATCAAAAGAACCCTCTGTAAATTACTTATAAAGAAGTGCTTTCTGCGACAACCTAGGCAATGCTAGCAGTGCTTTGTTGTTGTGTGTGGACTCTTTATAAAGAAAGAAATCTGCAAAAGGTGATATCTTCTCAATTATAGAACCCTGAATTAGTTGAGGAGGGCAGCTGTGAACTATCTTGATGTACTTTTTTCTTACAGTATGAGGTCTTTGGTTCTGCAGAAAAAATATAGACGAATCTTTAAAATGGAAGTTATGTGGAAAGATATCATTTCATTTTGGAAAGAGTATTTTGCGCTTAAATCAGATAATTGTTCATATGGGACGAGACTGCACCTTTACAAGTAGTCCCTTGATTTAATTCTATGTTAAAATAAATAAATTACAGACAGACAGGCATACAGCTTTTTCTGGGCAGGTTGCACATCTCTTTGTAGAAAGAAAAGGCAAGGAGAAGCTTATTAACCATTTTTGTCTCATTATTATCGATATAAAATGTTCCTCTATAGGGTGCTCTCTTTTCTCTCTTTTCGTAGTGTTCTCTCATTAGATGTGATTTCCTGTCCTATTTTTCCTCCACCTTCTGCCTTTTCCCCGCCCTTATTACTTTGCTGTTTGTAGTCTACAGCCTAACCACCGAAATCTTGACCATTTGGCTTCTTAGCTTTCTTATCTTCTTCTGCCTGATTGCCTTTGCACTCTTTTGACCTTATTACAAACATTTTATAGCTACGTACTTAATTTCCCCCAGTGTTTGATGAACATTTCATGATTTTACTGTAGCTTGGCTAATAAGCCATCCGGTCACCTCATATACTAATGTACCCGTCATTGACCCGGCCCTGGTTTTATTGCGTAATAGTGTAATGTTCTGTTTTGTTATTGCTTATGTTTTTAATTTGCTTTGCATTGTGTTGTTATTGTCTGTTGTTATTGTGTTGAGGCCTTGGCCTTTGTAAGCCGCATCGAGTCCTTCGGGAGATGCTAGCGGGGTACAAATAAAGTTTAATAATAATAATAATAATAATAATAATAATAATAATAATGTATAACACTAGAAATTTTAGTAAAAAGCAAACAAACTCAAAAGCCACTAATCAGTGTAAGTACTGTACTTCAACTTT